GCATGTTGAAGGGGGAGGGGACAACATGAGCAGAGGCGAGGGGGTGGGAGTGAGTGTGGGAAGGGGTGGGGGGGAGAGAACGGCTCACCCCGAGGGGCCGCAGCTCCCTGACCCCTCTGTTCTTCCAGAGGCTTTGCTCTGCCCTGTGTCACCTGTCCCTCCTGCTGTGTCTCCTGCCTGGCAGGTCCACTCTGTCCAGGTGCTGCAACGCCCCCTCCTTCCTCTTCACGACGCAGAAGAACACGCCCCTGGGGACGAAGCTCAAGTATGAAGTGGACACCAGCGGCATCTACCACATCAACCAGGAGATCTTCCGCATGTTTCCCAAGGTGCTGCTTGGGGCAGGGCAGTCTGGGCAGGGCAAAGGGGCGACCTCACGTAGCCCTCTGTGGCCACGCCCACGCAGTGTGGCATCACTCTGCTGTGCTCTCTGCACCCGTTGTCCTGGCTCGGGGTGGCTCAGTGGACTGTCCTCCGGGGCTCCCGTCTGGGCAGAGTGAGTGCCAACTGGCTATTATTTGAGCGACTTCTGGCAAGAAAATGGTTGTCAAATTTTGGTTATTGCATTGCTTGCAGAGGACATCCCGAAGATATCTGGGAGAGTGATTAGGCATTTGTCCCCCACTGGAGGCAGGCGCAGGAGCAAAACCATTCACGCAAAGGTTGCATGCACGAGAAATCACGGACCAGTAGAAAGCAAATCGAGAACGATTTGATCTCACGTTGGATGACCTTGGACGGTTCTTATATCTTCCAAGGCCCCAGTCTCCCTGTCCATCACACTGGACTGATTTAGGCTAGGAATAGGTTTGGCTGCTTATAACAGAAAATCTAAGTAAAACAAGATAGACGTGAATTGTTTTCCTTCCGCATAAAAGAAGTCGGGAGGGCTAGTACGGTGGCTCCCTGGTCATGGGGGACCACAGGATAAGTGATCTCATGAATGAACGGCTCAGGGCACTGAAGCTCTGGCTTCACTTGTGGCCTGATCACAGCGTCAGAATCTCAGAGAAAAGGGCCTGGAACCTGCCTTTTCAGCTCATTCTGGTGGTTATTACCATCTGAAGAGGAAGAAGGTTCCACTGGATGTGTTCATAACCACCACCTGGAGAGCAATGGGTCCAAGGCAGGGCTTAGTGAGCCCAGTTTGCAGAAATGCTGAGTCAGGTCTTTCTGGATGAAATCTGAGGGCCTGGGCTGCCCTGCTTCAACGGGAATGCTCATGAAACAAAGCCCACGGGTCCCTGAGTTCTGTTACTTAAACGGAGGGTGCTGATAAGGTTGGGCCTTGTGGGGGCAGTGGGGAGGAGCCCAAGGTGGAGAGGTGTCACACATTCTCTCCCCACGTCACTGGGCTGGAGGATGATGGGGATAAGCCACATTTACCAGGTGGGTCTTTTTTTTTTCTTTTTTTTAATGTTTATTTTTGAGAGAGAGAGAGAGAGAGAGAGAGAGAGAGAGAGAGAGACAGACAGACAGAGTGTGAGGGGGGAGGGGCAGAGAGAGAGGGAGACACAGACTCCGAAGCAGGCTCCAGGCTCTGAGCTGTCAGCACAGAGTCCATCACGGGGCTCGAACTCCCAAACCACGAGATCGTGACCTGAGCCGAAGTCAGATGCCTAAGCGACTGAGCCCCCCAGGCACCCCTACAGCGTGGGTCTTGCAAGGCCTGGAACAGGAGGCTGATGTCCGACAGGTGGACTTACATCTCATGCGGGTCATGCCAGTGGGTGACAGTTCAGTTATGACATATGGGTCCAACAAGGGCCGTGGGTATAGACGGCCGAGGCCCAGGGAGTGAGAGCAGGGCTGCCAAATGTTCTCTGGAAAGGGCCAGAGAGCAAATATTTTAAGCCTTGCAGGCCATATGGTCTCTGTCACAGCCACTCACCTTTATGGTTCCAGCACAAGGCAGCCACGGACCTTCACAAACAAATGAGTGTGGCTGGGCTGCAGGAACACTCTAGTTCCTATCAGACACTGAAACATGAACTTTACATAATTTTTACGTGTCACGAAGTCTTCTTCTTTTGATCCCCACCCCCAACCATTTAAAAATACAAAACCCATGCTTAGCTCGCAGGCTGTACGGAAACAGGCAGAAGGTCCAAGGTGGCCCGCAGGCTGTAATTAGCCACCCCCTGAGTTAGAGCCCGTGACTTAGAAGGATTCATACCCTCAAGGTAAGTACTTCTTTGGGATTGTATAAAATTCAGCTTCTCCACCTCCTCCCCCGACCCTGGAGATTCTGATTCCATGGTTCTGGGAAGGAGCCCAGGAATTTCTATTTCCAGAAAGTACTCCAGGTTGTTTTTGATGTACAGAAGTTTGGGAGACACTGACATAGAACATAAAGGCCTTTGAGGATCTCTCCAAAGATAACTTTGGTTTTTTCCTTTCCCTGGTAAAAGTCGAACAGTGCAGTTTTCCCCAATGGCTGTGAGACACCCTTGTTTTCCCCATCCTGGCCCCTGGGCCTGTCCCTTCAGGGACAATGGGCCTTGAAGGACAGTCTCCCACAGACGGATGCAGCATCTTCTTCAGATTTAGTCTCCTTCCTGAGGACCCACTGTGGTGTGATTGCCCATGACCCCACCGGGAGGCCAAGGTGCCGACCGGGGCCGCTGTCATTCAGGGCTGGCCAGGTGATGTGTGCTGGAAGGGGAGCTGTCCAGTAGGCTCCTGGGGGGACGGATCGTTGGGGACTAATGACAGTAATAATCTGGTCCTCCTGCCGAGATACCTCTGGGCCAAGCATCACCCTGGATAGGCTTTTCATTTACACTAGTGGTTCTCAACCCTGGGGACATTTGGCAACGTTTAGAGACATTTTGGTGGTTATGATTGGGCGTTACCCTTGACATCCGGTGGGGAGAGGCCCAGGGATGCTGCTAAACATTCTGCAGTCCACAGGGCAGCCCCCCCCCCCCCCCAGCAAGGAATGAGCTGGTCCAAAGTGTCAACGGTGCCAGATCGAGAAACTCTGCTTCACGTTGTCTCACTTTTGAAAAGCACGACATACACATGGAATTATCCTAATTTTACAGATGGGAAAACCGAGTTGCTGAGAACTCAAAACACTTGTCTATGGTTCCTTCACCTCATTATCACGCAAAACCAGGGCTGAACCTGGGTCTTTTGCCTAGGGGACCCCATCCTGGTTGGTCCCGGGCTTTCCTGGTTTGACCCAAGGGAAGCCCTGCATCCCGGGCAGAGTTCCCCAGTCCTGGGCACACTGGGGGTTTGGGCACCCTGCCCTTGACTCCAGGTCTGTGCTTCTTTCTGCCTGTGCCATGCATGTGGCTGCTTGGTTCCATCTGCCTTAGGTTTCCTTGGTGGGGGGGTGGGGTGGTGGGTGGATTATGACCCAGAGCAGGGACGGGACAGAATTGGGACCCTTAACCCTCAGGCCAGTGTTTGATTTTTCCTGCTGACGTGCCTGTGGTCCCCTGGAGAGCATGCCCAGGGAGCCTTGTGGGGAGCCGGTGCCCAGACCAAGGTAACCCCAGCAGTCAGGGTGTGACAAGGTCAAAGTGCCGTGAGATGGTCACTCCCAGGGCTCCCGCAAGTGTGACTGTCACTCAGGCTAAGTCCCGGGCTCCTCTGCACTTAGCAGAGATTTCAGGAATTTCCGGCCTCTCGCTGTTCCCCAGTGTGGCCTTGCTTACTCAGCCCTTGGTCTCTTGTCCCTGCTGCTGCCAAGTCCTGCCATGTGTCCCGGTCCATCTGATCTTTGAATCCCAGGCACATGTGCCCCCCTGCAGAGCAGAGGGAGGGTCTGTACCATGTCCTGAGCTGAAAGGGGTGAGAGCCAGGTTTAGGGCCCTGGTCCCAGGCGGCCCTGTCCCCATCTCTGCTGCTGTCACCCCCCAGAACATCTGCATTAACCAATAAAACATGCATACTAGAAGTCATAAAGATGAGCTTCCCAACATTGGCAAAACCAAAGGCAAGCAGGACTAGCCACAACCTGTACTCTCTTCTTTCTGGAAACCTGAGGCATCCCAGAGCTTATTGAAAAAGGTTGTGGAGACCTGGCTTCTGTTCCAGCTCATTCGTGCTGGCCAGTGGGACTGAGAACAAGTCTCCTGGCCTCTCTTCTCATCTGCAAAGTGGAATAACCACTTTTCTCCCACATTCCCTGCAAGGCTGGCTCGTAGACGTGATCATGGGTACAGGGGTGAGGGCACCCAAAGAAGGCAGGGAGGGCATTGCCTGTGACAGCCGCGTCCCTGTCTCCCCCAGGACATGCCCTACTACCGGTCCCAGTTTAAGAAGTGTGCAGTGGTGGGCAATGGAGGCATCTTAAAGAACAGCCGCTGTGGGAGAGAGATCAACAGCGCTGACTTTGTCTTCCGGTAAAGAATCCCCCAGGCTCTGCACCTGCTGCTTCTGCCCCCACGGCCCTCCGGCTCTGTGCCCTTCCCTCTTGTGGTGCCCCACCCCCATCCCCCAATGCTGTCCTTCAAGAGATCAGCCTCCACTCCCCAGCCCTGCACACCCTCATGCTCTGGGTTGTTTCTTGCCCTCTCCAGCCCTATCCCTTGGGGCCAGTGGCCAAACCTCTCAGGTCCTCTGTCTCCACGTCTGCGGAATGAGACGTGTGCAAAGAACACCTCTGTTTTCAAAATAATTAATTTTTTTAAAAAGAGCATAGCAGCTATATGAAGGTCTGTGCAGATCTGTGGGTGTGCAGAACCCTCCCCAACTGGGTTCTTCTCTTCCAGAAGCAGGGCTTGGAACAAGGGCGGCCTTGGGGCTGGCACCAATATTGGCTTCGCCCTGGCTTTAACTAAGTCAGAGATGGGTCCTGGTATTTCTTCTTCCTCAGATAGAGCCCCTTCTAGCCTCTTTGGGTATCCTCGCTTACATCTTTAGCCTGGATAAAGAAGATGGGTTGAAAATAAAGGCTTCATGCAGAGGGATTGGGGTTGAGGCTGTCCACCATCATTGTGCCACTCGGGGGAGGGGGGAGGAGTAAACTTGCCTCTCTATGCACAGGCCACAAAGATTCCATCCAGCTGGCTGCCTCTGCCTCCCTCTGCCCATAGGAGCAACATCTCCTCCCTCCCCATGCCCTCCCCCTGCCTGCTCTCCAGCTGTGTCTAGAATGACTGAGCACATACGGCCTGGGTGCCTTGTCTCTTGTGCAGGTGCAACCTACCCCCCATCTCGGAGAAGTACACCATGGATGTGGGAGTGAAGACGGATGTGGTCACTGTGAACCCCAGCATCATCACCGAGAGGTAACTGACCCTCTTCTAGACTTGTGCTGTCCAGTATGGTACCCGCTAGTCACATGTGGTTACTGGCCACTGGAAATGTGGCTATCCAGATTGACATGGGCTGCCTATAAGTGTAAACACACACCCGATTTCAAAGACTTAACATGGAAAGGAGGATGGACCATATCTCATCCATTGTTTGTATCGATTACCTGTTGAAAGAGTCGTATTTTGGGGGCGCCTGGGTGGCTCAGTCGGTTGAGCGTCCGAC